TATTATGAACTCAATTTTTTACTGAAGACTATCCAAAGTCAGATACATATTCAGTAAAAATTTTACTAAGATTGAGTGCTCTGGAAAAAAAATAGATTTTTGACCCGGGGGGGGGGAGGGCCCTTAATTAAGATTTTTACAGGTGGATTTCTCAAAAAACTTGATAAGATCTTGACAAGAACTGTTGAACATTCTTTGAGATGAAGAAACTTAACTTAACAAACTTAACAACTTAAATCTTGTGCAGATATAAACTTTCTGCAAGACGTGGAACAGCAGCTTCTATTCTATCCACAACACATTTCCCATGTCCTGTCTCCACACACATCTAGTTTATTTGATATTCTTTTGAATAACAAATGATTTTATCAGATAAAAAACGTTTTATCTCTATGTTGAGACGTTGGAAAACGGGCGGCAAATGTGAAATATTCAATTTTTTGTTTTAATAATGTGTTCATTAGTTGTTGAACTGAAACCCAACATGTCTCAGCCTTATGATCAGTGCCATCTGACAGCGCTGCAAAGTCAGATTGTTGTGTTTTCATCGGCGCATGAGTACTATGATTTGACACATGGCGATCGAAATGGTAGTTTGATTTTTGCTTCTCGTGCCGGATGGTTCGTGTAATTCTAATTCTAATCAATTTGGATAGTCGCACTATTTGACTGTATCAATGAGTACTGTCAGGCTACTATGAAGACATTAGCTTTGATTAAAAAACATGTAGATGAAGCAAGTAAAAGGTTATTACCGAAGTAATAAATTAATTTTCCATGAGCGGAATTTTTGCAATTTACCAAACAGGATGGACAAAGACGAAAATGTTGACTACTCGATTCAAGTTTATTCAAATTAGTAGGAATAAACGAATCGCTTTTATCCCAAAATAAATACAATTCACAATTGTTAGCTATGAAAATATTAGAAGAAAATTGATTAAATAAACGAATTCTTCCACCGTTATTTTATAAGGCATCACGGCGTATTTAATGCATACTAAATGTCTTAAGGATATCAGGATGTCTTACTATATCTATCAAAAATGCACTTGATTTACACACAAATTGATGAAGAAAAAATAAAGAGAAAAAATGCTGGTTTTGTCGATGATATTATTCCACTTAGGCATGCAACAGTAGCAGTAGTTTATCGGTTACGGTACTACCGTTACTACCGCTACCATTCTACTGCTGTTATCGATCCACGGGTTTTATCGTTCATTGCGGACAGATAGTATCGATTCTAGAGAGAGTGAAATTCTGTAGAGCATATGACGATGTCGTTATTGTAACAAATTTTGATGCTTTATTCTACATTTTAATTTTCTCTGCTATTGGCTTAAATAGTCTCAAATAAGAAGAAGAAATAATGGTTTTTATCGTTTTGTTTAATTTTGTTTTTACATAAACAGTGGATGAAACCTGAGCAACTCGCAAAATCTAATTTCGGCTTACTAAGGTTCACGAATTTTGATTCTTTCATGTGTCTATGAGTTATCGAAGACTGAGTTGAGTTACATTTGCAACTGTGCGATTTTTTACAACAGGTTTTATCCGAAAAAGGTTACCTACGGTGACCGGTAAAACGGTACGGGTAGAACGGTAGCGGTAGTAACGGCTTTACCGCTATCGTTGCATGCCTCATTTCACTCATTCCAAAAGGAAAAATAAAGCTTTTTTCATATTTCTTACCGTAGATCAAATAAAGATCAAAACGAAGCTTTTTTTATTACAATTATTTTTGTTCTTTCAATTCAGTTTTTATCACATGTTTTTTAGAGATAACTTTATTCTTTTTCCTTCGAAATTCTTTATTTATATAGAAAGGTAGTTAAGTTTACAAGGTCGAGAGGAACAGATGCAGTTGGACTCATTTTATAAGAAGACAAGAAATGAATTTCATAAAACGTATAAACTAAAAACATTCACTCTTCTCTTGTCTAAATGTGTTTTCTTTAGTTATATTTCTCTTTTGCTGGTTATATTTTTTCAAAGATATGATAGACATATATTGTTTAATATTCTATAGTATAAAAAATGTCATTCGCAGATGTTGGACCGTCTAATGATAATGACGACGGTAACAGCAACGATGATTATGACGATCATCCAGTATTATTAATATCAACGAATGAGAGTGTATTTATACGTGATAAATATGTAAATGATAATTCAAGTACACAACCTTTACTGGGCCGTATAACAGAATTCAATCAACATGGTATTTTTCTGATGCGAATAAAATAGTTCTACTTTCTCAATTGATTTATTTTCTCTTCTTTTTTGTTAAAAGGTTCATTATATTGTAAAAGTATGAAAACTCGTTATGTTATTGCAATATGGGCATTCTTTGGATTTTTTTGTGGTTTTACCATACGTGTTAATCTTTCAGGTATTCTAAGATTTCACATTTTTCTATTGATCTCCTTGCTTTGAGAAACGGATATTTGCTTGCGGACACTTCGCTGATATTCGTGGACACTTGCTCATATGGTAACTTGCTCTCCTGGATTGATGCTCGCTAGGACTAGTTCTCGTTTGAATAGATCCTCATAGGACACTTGCTCACTGGACACTTTAAATACAACACGCATTAAATAGAAAGAGTAAAATTGTTTACAAAATATATTCAAACTATTTTATATTTCTTATATTGAGTAAATTTTGTACATTGAGCGTTCATAAATAATATATTTTCGACGAGTATTGAGGTTAGTATAATTTTCAAAGAATTATCAGTAATTTTTATCATTTTCACCGCTTAAAATGTTTGTCACTATATCTAAAACGTCGAAAAACGCTCCATTACGTTTATAATAGTTTTCTTATATGGTCGATTTTAAAAATGACGAGAACTATGTAAGTAATTTACGTTCAACACTAGTTCGATGAGCAAGTATCTCATGTCGATCTATCCAAGTGAACTCTAGTCCTAGTGAGCATCAGTGCGAAAGAGCAATTTGTCATACGAGCATCTATCCGCTGTCCTAAACAGCTTTTTTTCTATATTTTTAGTGGCAAGCGGTCACTCATAACGAGTATCCAGGTAAAATGAGGGAGAGTTGGTGAACCAAACCCAAATAGTGGGAAAGAAATTTTGGGGCATCATACGATTTTTGTATAGTTGAATATTTGTTTTTCAGCTCTTGTCATAGATTTGAGCGACGAAACGTTATTTTTTAGTGCTGCAGAGAAACAAAGTAAATAGTTTACTCAATAAGGTATTTTCTACTGTTGTAATAAATCATGGTTTTAACCACTCAACATTACCATAAATCTTCCGAGTTTTCTGGACATTTTCTATCAACAAGCATGAAATACAAATATTCTTTTTAAACGATCCTGTCTGGCAGGATTTCAAAAGCTACGTCGATGACTGGTTTATTCGAATGCACAAGTGCATTGATGCTGACGGACAGTACTTAGAAAAACCACACTAGAATCAGTCTTAGAATATTTGTCTAAAGGACTTGGAAATAACTTTTTTAGTGCCCCTTGTAATTATCAAAGTCAAAGGAAATCGGACAAGACTGAAAAGAGAGTACAAAAAAGAGCTGTTTTGTTTGATTGTCCTTGATGAATTGTTTCAAATTGTTGCGATGGTAAAGCTAAAAAGTAAAAATTCGTAAATCATTCTCCCCAGTTTATTATCATTCAGGTATCACCGCAAAGTCTATTAAATGAATCGAGACGAGCATGTCCATCAACAGCGAAGCAAAACTCATCTCAATCAAAGGTAACATTTAGAATACTCTCTAAAACATTTTTGTATCGTACAGAACCAAAAAAAGATATTCCTATGCCGGGATACACTTTTTGGAATCTCTGAGTAAGAAATACAGATACCCGCTATTTTTTGGTTCTATGGAATTAGAAATATTCTCAAAGCAATCTTACAAAACCACAAAAGGGTATACTGAAATACCAAAATGGTATTTTAAAATACGGTTAAGGGTATTTCTAATTCCACAGAACAAAAAAATAGCGGATATCTGCATTTGCTACTCAGAAATTTCAAAAAGGGTATCCCAATATGGAATAATCCTTTTTTGGCGCTGTAAGATACGAAGTTTTTAGAGGGATAGCTATTTTGTTAAAAATGGACAAGTTGCTAAAAGAGAATAATCACTTTTTTTTGGGATATATGTTTTAATATTTGTAGGATTATGAATTTGACTGGTCTCCTCCGACTCAAGGATTTATTCTTGGAGCATTTTTTTATGGTTATATGTTAACTCAAGTGTGAGTATCTCTATATACGCACTAATTTATATGTAATGATACTAAAAAATTTGAGAGTGAACAAGGACTTTTTAATGTTAAGATACATAGTTTTTTAGTGACTACAATTTCGATAAACAAACATCTGGAAAAACATTTCTCGAATGGGAATTGAACGCAGGACATCAGTTAATAAGACCAATGCTCTATCACTCACGACAGCTAATGAGGCACCGTTTTGGCATGTTTCTTGTTCACTCGGAAGAAACCTTCCGAGTAAATGATCTGAGTTATCGAAATGCATATGATAATGGTATCTCATCCGAGACAAATTCCAGGACTGTGCCTCGATTGTTCAGTGGTAGAGCATTGATCTTGTTAGCCGATGTTTGGAGGTTGATGCCCAGTCGAGTCCGAATGTTTATTTATCGCAAGTTTAGTCACTAAAAAACTAACTTTCATGCACCGATGTCGGTTCACCAACACCGAAAAACTCTCAAACATTTTTATTTAAGGTTTTAAAATGATATAAAGAGTGAGCACATAATATCTGTTCACTATTGGTAAAGAAACATGATTTTATCTGTGCCGGTTTCGGTCAACCGACAATCAAAAGGTTAAAACCGCTAAAATCAGAAAAAAGCACACAAATCTACATCTTGGCTTAAGGAACGAATTTAATATCTGGTATTTGCCCCTTAATGGATGAAGTATGCCATATGCTTTTTCTTCTGATCATCTGTGTTGCACTCTGCGATTTCTCGAGTTATATATAGCCATCGAGACCTAAAATTTCACAATAATATCAACGAGGAGACCTCTCCAGATGTTCAACGTCGACTTCAATGATCTTTTGCCTATAGATACTATATAGTGTTCTACCATCTAGGAATCTTGCCACAAAATTCAGTTTTTTCGGTGTCGGTTTAAACCGAATATCTTTTTTTCGTGTCGATTTTTCGGTTTGAAGAATGAAATCGGTGCATACCTGCTTTCATGTAATGATACTTCTATATCGTTTTTTTGATAGGATAGGAGGTAGAGTTTCAAATATTCGTTGATAATACAAAATTTTATAAGCAGAAAAAACAAACTTTTGCAGGAAATCTTGCTGAACGTTATGGTGCAAAATATATTTTTGGTGGAAGTATTTTAACTACTGGATTATTAACATTATTAACACCAATAGCGGCTCGAACTCATGTAATCTTATTGATTGTCATTCGTGTTTTAATTGGTGCCTGCTCTGGTCCACTTTATCCTTCAGCAGGTATGTTTTTCATGCATAAAATGGAGAAAATAAATCATTATGTGCGATTTTTTAGGCGCATTATGGGGAAGATGGGTATGATATATTATTGTATGTCAATGGTTTTTAAACTTGTTTTGTCTCCATTTTTATTTTAGGTTCCTCCGCTTGAAAGATCAACAATTCCATCAACGGCAGCAACAGGTGCAAACGTTGGTATTATCGTTTCAACACCACTGATCAGTCTGTTATGTGCATCATCATTTCTTGGCGGATGGCCAAGTGGTTTTTACGTGTTTGGTAGGTAGCAATCACACAACTTCTCTCTATGATAGTATTTCCGAAACAGTAAAATAAAAGAAAATTTAAACAAAAGTTACATACCATAGAATAAAGGCAAACGTGTTCCTATCTATACATTTTTTTCTCTAAAAACCATTTTCAGTACGATCCACCATTAGAGCAATTTTAGGGTCTTAATTCGATCATTTGGTTATAAATAGTTGATAAAAACAGATTTTATAAAATTTCTACTGTCCGTTTCAAAATATAGTGTCCTCCGATGTTTAAATTGGTGTTTTCATAACAGTAACGAGTAAAATTAGTCATCTCACATAACAAAAAAATTTTCGAATTGTGTTCATTTTAAACAAAAAAAATTCCTTAAAATTCTACATAAGATTTGCAAAGTCCTATATAGATAGTCTAGTCTCCTATATACTACTATTAATTGTTTTTAAGGTTGTCTTTCAAGCATCTGGTTCGCTGGTTGGTACTTTTTTGGCTATAGTTCGCCTGCGGTTCATCCAAGAATATCATCCGAAGAAAAATTATATTTAATGAAATATTCATCAAGGTTGAAAAAGGTAACTAAACGATCAATTAGACAAAAAAAATTGAATATTTTTATTTTGTTTTGTATTAATTAAATTTCAGCATCGTCGAACACCATGGAAAGATATAATACAATGTGTTCCATTATATGGAATAGCGACGCTATCTATTTGTGTTAATTATGTTTATTATACATTATTAACATCATTACCAATTTATTTTGCAACAATATTAAATTTGGATTTAGATCAAGTACAATTAAGAAAAACATTCGAAAATAAAATATTCTTTACTCATTATTATTATTTTTAGAATGGTTTTCTATTTGCCATGCCGTACCTTTGTCAATCACTTGTGACTGTTTGTGTTGGCCATACAATACAACGAATTCGAAAGAATACTAAATTAACAATAACAAATATTAGAAGAGTACCAACAATAATTGGTTGGTTGGAGACCGTTGGTGCTAAGAAGATTATTCGATCGAAAATAATTTCTTTTATTCTTTAGGCTCTGTTGGATCTTCAATATCTTTAATAGCAATTGGTTATTCTGAATGTAATAAAATTGCAGCTGTTCTATGTTGTATTTTAGCACAAGCACTTATGGGTTTTTTAAGTGTTAGTGCGTTGATTTCACATTTGGATATAGCACCCAATTATGCAGGTAGGTATCAGATGAAACTTTTTTTCTTTTATGACCTGTATTAGACTATACCGCTATTTTTCTAGGAACACTCATTGGAATTACAAATACATTAAACGCTATTCCGGGTTTTGTTGGACCAATGATGGTTGGCGCCATCACAAATGATAATGTTTGTTTATACATGTCTCTACATAACCTCTAAAATTTTGTATTCTTTTTTCATCCTGTTTTTAGCAAACATTGCATGCTTGGAAAATGATATTTAATCTTTCAGCTGCAATCGGAATGTTTGGATGTTTAGTTTTTTGCTTGTTGTTTCGAGGAGAAGAACAACACTGGAATCATCATCGTCGTGATACAAATGCAGATAAAACTGTTATACAATAAGTTTTGTTCAAATGAAAACCTTTTCTAAGCAAAAAAACTAATCATATCTTAAGTAAGATCACAGATCTGCGAGCTCTGTGTTATTGTTTTTTCTCTCTCGTGATGAACTTGTAGTCTATGTAAAACAGAAAAGCTTTTTTGTTCTTTTTGTCTTTTTGGTCGGATGTTTGGAACACTAAGTGCGTCCTTAAGGAGAAAATCGCGTACAAAAAGCTAAAATATGATGTTTACTATACTGCTTGACATTGTGATGAATCTCTAACTTATATCTAATTGTGGTATTAAAAGCAAGTTCATTTCTGTGATGGAAACATTACCTCCTACGATGTTAAGTAGGTAAATAAAAACGTGAATCAGATCGATTCACTCTGTCCACTGACTGTAAGTAAGAACAACCCAACTGAGCTTCCCTTAGCCACTCGAGTTTACTATATTTTTCATATACTACTCCGCAGACACTACACGACTGTGCCTGCTGTTTCATTGAGAATCGCTTCCTTAAAGGTTGCGTATCGTTTAAAGTACATCAATCTCATAGGTATGAGTATGTAACTTACATACAGAAGTCCATGCATATACACACCAGGTAACGTTCGTCTGCACTCGCTTGGCTCCTTGACTTTGAGAACTTATATCTGCAGGTGACCTTCGATACCGTTAAATCAAAGACAGCGCTCACACCTCCCATCGGTCGGTGCTCGCTGGGGGACCATCCAGAATATGTTATGGAATGTGTGCCAAGCACGCTAATGTCTCTGTGTATGTACGTCAGTCATCCAATGTTCATATATCTGTCTGTATGCATGTCCGTCACAGTAATACTGAACGCCCTTCGATGACTTTGAATCAAAGACATGTCCTAAAGCTTCGTAAAAGCTCATTCGAAAGGTGGAACAGATCTTATAGGTTGTGTAACATGCTCTGTCTATACACAGTCGATTACCCAATGAAGATACTTTAACCAAAGTTCTTTCTCATCAGAACAGTCATCCATCATCAATTAAATCACTGCCTTCAGCTGTTCCTATTACGATCACAGGCAGCAGCATTATTCGTAATTTATTACCGGGTATTATGAATTATAACGGAAAAGATTGTAATATAAAAATAAGAACTATAGATGGTGCTTGTATCAACCACATCAGTAAATGAATTAAAGTAAATAGAATAGATAAACAATTTGCAGACTCTGAACATGTTATCATTTCAACTGAATCGGTCGATATTAAACATAATACACCACAATCTGCAATTCAAAATATTAGTAGTCTAATAAGAATATCTAAAGAAAAATTATCAAATGCTTTATTAGCTTTATGCACTTTACCAATAAACTAGTCTTCCCGGTAATGTCGTTCGCGGAAATGTCGCTGTATCGCATATTTTGGAATAAGGCTGTCACTCTCTGGAATTCTAGCTGAGAGAAAAGTCTCTTGTAAGCAGAATACTACTGGTTGAAATTTATTCAAATACTGTTCAAATCCAAATGTGTACTATGACAATTCGTGAAAGAGTCGCGATCCGGTTCGCGGAAAGGTTGTGTCACAGGTTTTTTTCTGCATCAAAATTACGAGATAAACTGTGTATATTGTGTGATGTAATAAGTAGCTTAGTGTTAGCGGAGGAAGGAATAAACACTAGAGCAGCAGGATTTAATTGAATTGGCAGAGGAGTCTTAGCACCCGACAAAGTGATAGGAATAGTGTCAATAATTGTGTTCTTCTGTAGTAATGTGCATCAGTACACCAAAACGAACGCTTTAGGCGCTGCCAAAGATTTGCAACTCATGAATGATGATAACAGTGTAACAACTGTTCACTATCATATCTGTTACAATGCAGTTTACAAGGAAATTGTCGAATGTTATCAGCTATTAGCAAGTACATATCCTCAAAATGTTTATTTACATCCATCGATGAAAACAATAAAAAATAATATAGATGGAACAGATACTAGTATGAAATGTACTGCAGTTAAATATAGCATTTACTATGATTATATATGGATTATACATGGAAATGAGAATTGTTACGAAGAATTGATTGCATATTTGCAGTCGGATTTCTCAGCTACTATAGCAAGTTATTGCTGGACAGAAAATTTGAAACTCGGTTCAAATCGAATTCAATATTTATTTTAGTAAGTTAAAAGTTTTCTGTATCCGAAGCCTGTAAAAACACACCTGTGCCATTTAGTGAAGAAACCTGCCATTTGAAAGAAGCTTTATTTTTTCATAAGCATTTTCAACGTCTTATGCCGACGACAGTAATAAGAGGGAAAAAATGGCTCAGCAGCCGCGTATCAGATAACTTTAGGATAAAGTCAGCTTTTTCGCAGAACGATGGCAAAAGGTCGCGGCACGCGTTGTGGAAGATAGAGAGCAATTTTTGATGTCATGTCGCCATGAACTGAGAAATATGTTTTACACCACAATCGAACAATTCGTCGGCCGATACCTCTATCCATCAGGTTACGAAGCGCATTTTCATAATAACTATATCTTCAAAAACTGTTGGAAAATGCATAAAAATAATCTTTCAGATTAGAATACACGTAACGCCCGCAAATCGGCGAATCTTTTTGATAGGGCAAGAATGATAATTTTGGTCCGCGCTAAGTTTTTCGTAAAGTTTTTTGAACGGTAGGACTGAGGTATCTATTTTCCTCTTACACTCACTTTGCACCAAACGTATTTAATACTCATCGTCAGTTCAAAAACTCGAATCAAAAATCGTATTCAACAACATATAACACAGCCACCAATGTCGCGTCAATAACCACATCTGATCCAAAGAAATCAGAACAAGTTATTTCATTCCTATGTGATAAAGAGAATTGTAGAAAATCATTTAATTCGGTGCAACAGTTGTATGATCATCTCTCGTCTACACATCCAATAGTAATTTTACCAGACGAACCAAAACTCGCAGGTGAACTGTGTTCATCAAAACCAACAGTCATAAAAACATTTCAGTGTACTTATGATAATTGCGGAGAATCATTTAGAAAACAAAGGCAGTTAAAGCGTCATTTTGAGACGAAACATCTCATCGTCAGTCCACTGGAACAACAGTTTGAAAATGAACAGTCAGTGAAAGAACAGGAACATTCTCTAAGACTCGAACCTAATTCAGCACTCACAACAACCACATCAAAAGACCAACTGAAGTCACAGACGTCGTCCAAGAAACGAGAAAAGGTAAAATCTTTCGTATGCGAATGGAATAATTGCACAAAAGCATACACAAAACAACAAACGTTGAACCGTCATCAACTTAAGGAGCATCTGAACATCCGTGAGTGCACTCCAGCCTGTCTTCAGGACGAAAATGAAGTGTCAATGACAGAGTTGCCGTTCCCGACTACAACAACACAGAAAGGAAAATCGTCAAAGAAACTAAAACAAGTTAAATCATTCTCGTGTGAATGGATTAATTGCGGAGAATCATTTGGTTCGAAGAATCAGTTGAACAAACATCAGATGGTACAACATTTGGTATTAATTCGTGCACAAGAATCGGATCCAACGACTATTGAACAGTCAGCCAAAGGGGCAGAACAGCAGCCGTTGACACTACCAGAAATGACTCGTGTATCATGCGGTTATGGCGGATGTGAACGATCATTTGATGCCGTCTATCATTTGAAAATGCATACTGTAGCAAAGCATCTCATTATTAATCGATGTCCCTACTGTTGTACTCAAACTAATGAGAACTTCGTTGGCTCTGTCGGTACGACAAGATTGCAAAACCACATAAATTTCCAGCATCGCTCAGAATATCCAATACCGATGTGTTTTGATCCGAAATGTCAGAGGAAAACATTTGAACATTGGTTTCAGGTACTGTTTCATGTTGTAAACATACATCCAGCGTCTCTCGGACTTGGATTATAGATTTGCACTTAGTACACTGAAAGGCTATTTTAAATTCGTCATATTCTAAAATATTTTTGATTATATTTGTTAAAGCAATAAATTCTTCGGCACAGAGAAAAAGAAGAATCTCGAGTTTATAGCAATATCTTAGAGATTGACTTCAAAATTTTGCCATAGATAATAGACAACATTCCCTAGATGTTTAGCTGTTTTTTTGTTTTATCACCGTTCGTTTCCTAGTTATAGCAAAACACTGAAAAACGTCTCAAAATCCACGTGTTTCAATTTTAAAACTCTTATAAGGTGCACAAAATTCAAAGTTGGAGTATCGTTCTATTTTTAATTCAAACATACATAGCTGGTTAGTCCGGAAGCCAAGAATCGTGATTATGTCCGTTTTTACCTCTCTAGTCCACTTCTTCATGCAAAGATGGCCAAACAAGACTATGATATGTATTTGAGATTCAGGTGTACAAAATGAGCTATGAAACATATTGTCATTTTGCTATACGCTGCTATATACTTT